GAGAGTTTAGCGAAAAGCGCAGCGTAGAATAAACCTCTCTCCAGGACGAGTTTTATTTAGGAAATGATAAAAGGATACCCTCCCTTCTCCTCTGACCTATTTTTATACAAAATTATTTTTTCTGGTTACTAAATATTCTTGGAAATAAGCAAACTGTTTGAGCAATTGTATGTTCATATAGCATAATGTTATCGCATCATGTTGCAGTTCTGGGAAGTCATTTCTGAGGAGCACGGTATCGACCAATCCGGCATTTATCACGGGGACAGCGATCTGCAGCTCGAACGAATCTCCGTGTATTATAATGAGGCCTCTGGTAAGAACATATATTAAATATTACATGTGTTAAATATTATACCAATATTTTTTTTTCATTCTTAAATTCAATTGGAATTCAACTTATTATTGAAATATTGTTATTACGCATACTATATGCTAGAAACTTAGTTTTTTATATACGCAATAAACATTTTCAAATTTTTTAAGAACATTATTTTTTTTTATATAATTATATAATTTGTTAATATTTTGTATATATAATTGCTATATTATACATATATAATGCTTTCTCGAGTATTTTATATACAGACATGACATACAAATATAAATCGGGTTACTGACGCACCTGGCTTCTTGGTGAAAGGGTGTACAAAGATAATTAATCTAGAAACATCGAGAATACAGTAGAATAAGAACCTCTAGAACTAGTTAATTTAATTGCAACTAATTTAACTTGTTTATGTAGTTTTGTTTAAAAGCATATCTATATACACACAAATAACAATTACACTTAAAAAAAAACACATTATTAAATATTTCCAATAAACAATAATTTCTAATGTTTATGTAAGTTGGTAAAAAAAGAAATGATATATAACAAAGTGGTATTTGCGTATTATGAAAGTACAAAGAAATTGTATTCACGAGTGAGAACAGATTTCTCGATTCATTGGTGAGATCTTTCCAATGGAGATGACTTCTCCCTCTTTTTCCTCTGCGCGGATTCTGCCCTCGCGTCAAAAATAGCAATAACGAGAAAGGTAGAAAAGCGCGTGTCCCGCGCCGATGGATGAGGAGGAACGTCGGGACACGCATTTACGCTGAAAATAGCCGCTTTGTGTGGTCGGAGACTTATAGATTGCGGCTGCAACACGATTTCAGGACTTCTCATGCATTTCTTCGCGCCGTGAAATATAATTATTTCCAAGAACGTAACGCGCGGTACGTGCTCTCGCACGTTTGAAACAGCTCAATTAACGTGGAACGTACACATTAGTGGCGTAAATTATTCGTTATAAATAGACTCAAATACACAGAAAAGATTATATTTTTCATGCTTATATATCTTTTTTTCCTTTTTCTATATTTTTAATTTATATACTTTTAGAGTCGTTGTCATAATATCTATAATATCTGTCTTATTAGCAATTGATTAGAAGTAAATACATATTTCATTAAGTATCTATGTTAAAATTAGAATCCTTTTTATTGTGATGCTAATTAAATCACATAATGCGGATCTTCATATTCCTTTGACAATATATCCCGATACTCATTTGCAAACGATACAGGCACGCATTTCCGTCGACTACTATAGCCGTTACGAATTTTTGGTAGAATGACAATAGCGACTAATTAATATGATAGCTTTGACGTCTTGTATCATTCATGAGTCATACGAGCCTATTGAATACAATCATTCACGTTTCATACGTCTTATCTTCGATATTTATGTATGTATTTAATAATTGAAAAAATTTAGAAATTTCTTTCTTAAATAGCATAATATATATTGTTATCCCGTTTTTATTTTAAACATTTTTGGATTTCTTGTCTTTTTCATAATATTTTAATAAGTATACGTGTTAATGATTTTTATTCTCCGTTTTTCTCATCTCAGTTGCGACGTCCACGAATGGAGGAAAATACGTGCCACGTGCTATCCTGCTGGATCTGGAGCCGGGAACGATGGACGCCGTACGTTCCGGCGCTTACGGGAAGCTCTTTAGACCGGACAATTTTGTGTTTGGGCAATCCGGTGCCGGTAACAACTGGGCGAAGGGCCATTACACCGAGGGCGCCGAGTTAGTCGACTCTGTTCTCGACGTGGTGCGGAAGGAGTGCGAGAACTGCGATTGTCTTCAAGGTTTTCAACTCACTCACTCGCTGGGAGGTGGCACCGGATCTGGGATGGGCACCCTGCTGATCTCCAAGATCCGCGAGGAGTATCCTGATCGGATTATGAACACTTACTCGGTGATGCCGTCGCCCAAGGTATCCGATACCGTCGTCGAACCGTATAACGCGACCCTGTCGGTGCACCAATTGGTGGAAAACACCGACGAGACCTATTGCATCGATAACGAGGCCCTATACGACATCTGCTTCCGCACTCTCAAGGTTTCCAATCCGAGTTACAACGATCTCAATCATCTGGTCTCGCTCACCATGTCCGGAGTAACGACTTGTCTCAGGTATGTATAAAAAATCTACGGAGCCAATAAAGGAATTCATAGAAAAAATAAAATTTTCCCCGAGTAGCAAGGATTGATTGATAACGTTTTCATCTCGTAGATAAATTCGCAAATAACACAGATCGATTTTTTCAGGTTCCCTGGACAGTTGAATGCCGATCTCAGAAAGCTCGCGGTGAACATGGTGCCCTTCCCACGCCTGCACTTCTTCATGCCGGGCTTCGCACCTCTAACGTCCAGGTCCATGCAACAGTACTCGGCGCTTTCCGTACCAGAACTCACCCAGCAGATGTTCGACGCGAAGAACATGATGGCGGCTTGCGATCCTCGCCACGGCCGATATCTCACTGTGGCGGCTGTCTTCCGCGGCAGAATGTCGATGAAGGAGGTAGACGAGCAGATGCTCAGCGTACAGAACAAAAACAGCTCGTACTTTGTCGAGTGGATACCGAACAACGTGAAGACCGCCGTCTGCGACATCCCACCGAAGGGCCTGAAAATGTCGTCGACTTTCATCGGCAATACCACCGCTATTCAGGAGCTATTCAAAAGGATCTCCGAGCAATTCACGGCGATGTTTAGAAGAAAAGCCTTCCTTCACTGGTATACCGGTGAAGGCATGGACGAGATGGAGTTCACCGAAGCCGAATCCAACATGAATGATCTGGTATCCGAATACCAGCAGTATCAGGAAGCCACGGCGGAGGAGGACTTTGAAGCAGAAGAGTGCGCCGATGACTTCGAAACTTGCGAGCAGGAAAACTGAAAGCAATGCAATACTGCTACCTTTTTCTGGTTCTATCTTCAGCTTTTCTATCTGTGTCCCGTTATTGTAGAAGCTCGCGAAACGATCGACTGTGCGCTTGCGAGAAACCGCCTTTTGATACTTTTATATATGATACGCTTTGTAATTGACGAAGTGAATGTAATATAGGCGATTGAAATGATTTTTATATACGAGATTGTGATACCGTGATATTTATATATATATGAATATATACTATATATATATTTATGAGGATGAGTAATTGAAGGTAAATGATATTAATTGCGGCAAAGAATAAATTGAAAATAATTATTTAGAATGTAATATAATTATCATTAATTTTTGATACGCCTATATTATATTCAGCTTTATTAGTGATAATTATACTGATCTTAATATGTTGCTTGGATAAATGTAACATGGATTGGATTGTAATAAAAGTCCTTGAAAAACCATGCTTTTATCACAACTGATAATCTTGAAATAATGGAATTAAAATTCTTTTTCTATATAGTAAAAAGATTCTTCAATCCAACATTAAATTTTTTTGTTTATCTTTTTTGGAAACCTTTTTTGTAATATATTATATCACACTAATTGCACTATATTAGTTTTTTTATATTTTTTTAATACATTTTATATGCATTTACAAGTAGCAATAAATAAAATTACAAAATCTTGATTTTTCACGATAGAAAGTATTTTTGATATTATTGAAAAGTGAATGTGTGTATACATACAATAATTAATTCATGCAATTCTTTCTTGGCTGATTTAACATATATACTTACAGTGTCAGATTCGGTTCAGTCTTCAACATACGGTATAAACTCTTCGACAAAATCCGTTTCGGCTTCTGCACTCTGATACTGTTGATATTCAGAGATGAGGGATGACAAACTGTTCTGAGCCTCCAAGAAATCAAATTCCTCCATACCCTCGGTGGTATAATGGTGGAGATACGCCTTACTTCTGAACATTGCTTGAAATTGGTCGAGCAACGTCGTAAACACATCCTGAATCGCGGTCGTATTTGACAGCGAAGTAGCAGATATATCCGTATTATACGTTGGTATGTCGCATATAGCAGTTTTAATATTATGCGGAATCCATTTGACGTAATGCGAACTGTACTGATTTTGTAAGAGATGTATGCTTTCGTCCACTTCCTAAAAAAGAAGGGTTAAATCGTGTCAAAATTTCAAAATATTTTCTCATTTTATATATATA